TTGCACCACATTCTCGATACCATGACCTTGTTTCTAAACCGAAAAATTGTTTGCCATTAGTTTGGATAGGTTATTTGAGTCCTGCAATTATTATTGGTACATGGTTTGGCTACACAGGAGAAGTTAGTAACAGTGGTCTGTAAGTTAACATCTTTGTATCCTCGGTTGTGGATATTCCTATAGTTTTATTGCTCTCATATCTTTTAGATTTTCTACGATAAACCTTTTACGCGAGTCTAGATAATTATCAGTGCACTTTCATCAAATAAAGTCTTTGTTTAAATCTTACTGCTGGTCTAGTTAAATTTTACCATGCTTACCAGTTTCGTGTTCCCAACAAGACTCGGACGCATCTGCCATCGCGCAAACAACACAGATTTATTTCTTTTTGTTTAACTTTTTGGAGACTAGCAGTTGCTGTTATCGTTTATCTCGTATTTTGCGAACATAGATTAGACTGCCCTTTATCTGACCCATGTATTCAAGTGTTACAGACATTGCTTTTTGTTAATACAATTTTTTTGTTTACTTTTATCGTTTCAGCTGCATTGGTCCCAAAACTCTCCGTTGGTCTTTTGTTGGTCCAATAACAACAGTTGTTACTTTTAACTTCGTTATTTTGTTTGTAGTTGGTCTCGTTCTCCTCAGAAATTATCTTGTTACTCGCAAAAGTAAACTAAATAAAACAACGTACGTATGCTTTATGCATCTACTTTCGATTCCAGTTTCTAAACTAAAGCAACTTACTACTCATGAAAGATTGTATACGCTTTCTTAGTATTTACGCAAAACCTTTCATCTGAAAAGTCAGCATCAACAAAAAGAAAAATGTAGTATGAATTGTCTTCCATGAAACTGCTTAATCAGTTTTTATCAGAGATTGGTTTCAAGAATTACCAAACTATTTAATTTTTCTATCGTTACCAAGGTTTGACTTGATAATTTTTAATTGAGTATTTAGTAAATTGGCAATGATAAAAATGATGATATATTTGTAATTATCATATTAAGTAGAAAATTGACGCTTAGTGTAAGTCCCTTTTTCAGAGGATAAACAACCGAATTGTCATTTTAGATTTACTGATCAGAAAACAAACGAAGATATTTCTTTGTAGGTTATTCTGATCTGTGAATTAATGGTAGTTTTAACTGGTTTGAAATTGCGTTAGCTTCCATTTTGTTTCGACTAGTCTAGGTTTAAATCAAGAAAGTTCATTTACACTTGAGATTATTCAGAAGGCAATGCTTTCGGTTTAATTAAGAAACGTAATCATGTTTCCCATTTCGTAACTCTACACTACAGTTGTTATTTCATTTTGCAATATCACTGAGTTACAAACGTATGTGCAGCATCTCACGTTATTTTTGTCTATGACAACGATAGCAAAGTTCTTAATACCCTGATTCTTTCTATCTATAATTGTAGACACTTTTTAGTGCTGACGCAGTTGATGCTAACGTTAGGAATTCCATACATTGCAATTTACATTCAGCTATTGGACGCTTTCACTATGCTAATTGTTGTACCAGTTGCAATGGCTCTAACAGCTGTACTTATGTTTCTTCTAGTCGCCGTTTTTGATGAGGTAACACCATTTTCGTTAATTTAATTTTCACAGCATAAACATACTCGAATATCTTATTGAGAAATTTATTTATTGCTGACTGTAACGTGCTCTACATGAAATTCACTTACGTTTTAAGTTATCAAAACTCGAAATCTGTAACGATCGAAATAGTTTTTACATTTTTCACAGATGCTTAAGTACAACTTAACTAACATGTCTTTGTTCACATACTCAAGTCGTATTCTGATATCGAAATGTTTTTTCATATAGAAGATAGTTGTATTTCACTGCTATTTCTTTCATTATAAAGCTGTCTCCAAAATGTTGCTAATTAAAAGATTAACAAGATTTATTAGGGTAGACTGACCTCCAAAATAACTGCAAGTTTAGATTGCAGATGAAAAAATGCTTCATAGATCATTAGTTACTCGAGGTGTCGTTTAAGATCTGTCCGATTACAGATATGAATCGTTTAGATAAACGAATTTGCTGTGATTCCTAAACTTAGTATTACCATTAGTAAATAGTATATCTGGAGATGCTAGTCATCACCAACAACACTTCTATTGTTGAAATCGACATATCGAATGTCTCCACTTATCACATATGAAGTGATATCTGACTCTCTTACATTTAAAAGGAATTAAATCTCATTATTAGTGTTTGAGACAGTTGGATGAACATCAATTTTTATTCACATTATGATATGAATTAATTATCATGATAATTATGGGTTTCGCTGATAATCATCCCTTTTTCTAATATTGATTCACGTTTAACCATCTGGACCAAAGAACTATGTTTGTCAACAAGTTATCACTTTTCATCAACATAGTTCGATTCTTCATCTTTAAGCGTTTTTCTGTTGGAACCTTATGCATCCACTGTCGTTACTATCATCTCTGTGTTGCTCTAGAAATATTTTCCTAGACTATAGGGTCCCTATAAAACAACACAACAACTCACTAGTTTTCTGGTTTTCACTGAATGTCTGCCGTATGTAAATTCGTGATGTAAACTACAAAGTGGAAAATCTTCTCTGTGAGGGAAGAAAAGGTTGATTTATCGCGGCGTCCCATCTATATTTTTAGTTTTGTTGAAGTCGGTCGATTAATATTCAGATATTGATCCTATGAGCGTAATGTTGTACAATACAAATGTCTTGATTTGTGGTCTTATCACTTTTGCGAATACTCCTGATATGAAACCAGCTGTAACATACTGCAGTACTATTAATTCAAATACAAAATTACTATGTAACTTTAATACTTGGCTTGTGGTTCTTTATTGTTTCTGAAATGTAACGTCGTTCTTAATTACTTTTGTGAATACAGTTTATTATTAAGTACTTAATCTAAAAGAATCGTTTTTTTGGATCCATACTTTTAGGAAAATCGTCATTTACTACGATCCTTTATTTACAAACACATCGCACGTTCAAGTGAGCACAGCTCTGGGACAATGGCATTGAGAAATCTATGCAGGGGAGAATTGGAGTCAAAGTTTAAAAAATCTCTCCATCATATGGAGCGGGATCACTTTTCGTCAAATTACTTAAGCACACACGCTTTACGCAACCCAGATAACGGAAAAAGTGCCTATCAACATGATAACACAATTAGAAGGAAAACACAAGAATATAGTTCAAGTATTGGTGAGTAGCAATATCTTCCACTAATTTCGTTAGTTCATACATTTGCATTGTTTGCACCACAATTTTGTTGAGGAAAAATAGTCATACTTTCCTCGATACGTTATTTGTAGTACAATGTTTACTACGTCTATATTCTCCTCCCGATGTGTATCATAGTGACTCACCGGTAAACTGTTGATCAACTTTTTGTACCATGTGCTTATTTCATCCTTTGAAAATTTTAATTTTTGTTTTAAATTTGAACGGTTAATAAAAACTAAACAATTATTCTTCAATTAGAAGATAAGAGTCCCTTCTAATTATGTGTCGTTCGTATGCCCATACAATTATGTCGATACTTTAAAGTGATTTCTGATGGATCATCTGGTCGTGCTAATATTTTGTATACAAAAATCTCAGAAGGCTATAAACTTCGACTGTTAAACCCAAGTAGCAATTATGTTTGTTTTATCAAAAATTGTCAATAAACTTACAACTATATGTTAGTTCTGTTTGATTGTGGTTTACTGTAAAAACGCGCTTTGCTTTTCGTTTGGATGCATTTGGATATTCTGTACTGAACCTGTCATTCAAAGTAACAGATCATTATCCTTTGAAAATACTGAATTGAGATGGCAGATGTCTTACACTTTTATATACTGTTTTACTTTTTCTAATCTTTATACAAGCCTCACCTGAAACTGGTAATTCAGTTGTACTTTGCGATTCGAGACAACTAAATGGAGAGTTATTTAATGACATTTCTTCCGCTGAAGAAGATCACACAGTCGAAAATATAAAGAATGAAGGTGATGTCAATCTTGGTTTTCCAAATAATCGTTCACATGTTTTACCTTCTTTCATTAGTCTAGTCACTCGGATGTAAGTATTCACAATATGTACGTGAAAACAAATCGGTTGTCCATTTTAACAACCATCAAATTGTTTCTATTCAAAACAGATTTATTCGTGAAAGCGAAGATCACCGGTTTCTATTAGTTCATATCTTACTTTTAACAAATAACGAAACCTTCACTTGTACGTCATAATTTTTTAATGTTTTCTTTCTAAAACTTCAGCATTTTAAGTGGGTATATTTCATTTGTTTGCTATTTCCGTGTTTATGCGCACAGGATGAAGTTCAATTTTTAAAACACTAGAAATTGATTTTATAGATTTTTCCACTTACTGTTGTATTGTTTGTATATATTATTTCTCAATGTTTTGAGCTAATCTGCGTAATCTCCACTTCACATCAAACTGAATTTTCGAAATTATTCATTTGCCACATAATGCATGCACAAATAGGTTAATTTTGATTTCTTAAAATATTTATCGTTTGCATAATTTATTATGATTAGCAATTACATATACCTTCTTTGCCACACTATCGTTACTGCATTCTTATAAAATTTCTTAGGTACTCGGTATATCAATAAACACACAAACCGAAATTTCCCAAGGCTTGACTGGATTTACAACTGTTTCTAGTAACTGTGACACTAACTTATACGAGTAGGAAACATTGAAATAACATCTCAAGGTTTATTCGGATCAATAGAAAATAGATATTTCAGATTCTTTTCCCTCTGGAAACCCAGTGCACTTTCTCTTTAGTTCAAACAGAGGCTCATTTCTTGAAAGTGAGGCTAAGCACCATGTAGTATTTTGTAAATGCAAAGCGTGAGGAAAATAAATCAATGTCTTTCTAAATAAATATTCAAACTAAAGTTTGTTCACATTCATAAATCAAAATTAACAGTCCAAAATATAAACGGTTTGTTTGTAAATCCCACGAATCAAATAAGCGGTGGAACGTCTGAACAGTCTTCAATATATTCGTTGTACATTCTTGGGGTCGTCGATTGTTTTTTGATGTGAAGAAACGATTCCTTACATTTTGATGAATTGTTTCCAGATAGTTCACTAAAAGTAGCGTTTGGCTTATTAAAATCCTGAACAAAAATATGATTTCTGAAAGTTCAACAAGGCAAAAATAGTGACAAATTTTTAGACGGAGAAGAGATTGCAACAATAATAGAAATATTACAACAAAAACAATCCTTGTATTCAATTATTTCTAGATTTAAAAGGATTCAGGTTTGAAAAGACATTATCTAAATTTATCACCTATGCAAATGAATATAAAGCGAATGGAAGCCAAACGCAACAATTGAAATTACGCAAATTTATCAAAAACGTTGTGGGATAATTACAAAAACATTTTACGTATACAACCTACGTTTTCTTGTTTTTTTCGTGAGAACTTTTATGTTCATCATTTGCCGATATTCTGATTTCCTGAGATGCCTGTGTATAAATTTAGCGAAAATATTATTAACATACCTTACTGTTGATAATTTACAGCTATTGGTTAAAAATAAATAAACAGCCTTCATTCTGTGTTAAAAGTGGTAAATCAATCTTCATCGATGGATATCGGTCTATTTCCAATATTGTTATAAAATTAAGAATTCTTACAGTTAAGGCACTCACCTTTAAAAGATTTCTCATACGTTTATATGAAGAAGTTCAGTAAACATATAGACGCATCAGATATTTTTGCTGGTCAAAATTTGACCAGGTTCTTTATATTGAAAATTTTGATTACCGTGATGTGCCTTTCAAAATCGTTATTCGCGGACAGACTTATATGTTGTTTTATCGTTCAAACAGCACATCAACGTAGTATTGTCTACTTTGATTATTCTAGAAGAAAATTGACATTTGAAAACTGTTGTAACGTGTGGTTTGCAGGTTAGATGCGCAGCGTAGTTATCGATCGCTTCTGTGACACGTAATGAACGACCTAGAGTCCTGATTGGCCATGCTTCGCTGTCTAACCCAGCCAGTTGAGTCTAAAGCGCAAGTCACAGCCTCTGAGTTATGAATCATTATATTTCAGAGTAACTCTTTTTACATACCCACCAAACAAACCACATCGTACCATGAAATGGAAAACAACATTTACACAATATTTAACAACTGAGATGAACATCGACCAATAGGAAATGTCCATTTAACGTCCAAGGACACCATTCGACTTAACACGATAATTATTGGTATATTCCTCTGCATACCTAACAAAAACATTACTTAGTTTCTGAATATCGATATTACTGTACACAATTTAGGCAGTTTGCAGTAGCAAAGTATGTCAGCAATTGTTAGATTCCTAAGTTTCCAGAATTGCGAGAATGATGTTTGCCAAATCAGAAACCAAAATATATCAGTATCATCAAGAATGCATATATTCAACTCCAGCCCACTAAGATAAAGATAACACAAGTGAAACCACAGAATACCAACAGGAGCTAGAATTTAGATATAAGAATAAAGCTAAAAAAAGTAATGAATAGTAATAAGATCAAGTACAAATAATGAAGCATGTTCACAGCTGTGATCGATTATTAAACATTATCACATAAAGTCTATCACCCTTAGAATTTTATCGCGAAACCCAACATCGAAGTCTTTACATGCCTTTAAACTGCCGGGATTTGCAGTTGGAAGCCTCTCGAAGTGGTACATAGTCTTGATTAACTACTGTCTTTTCTAATTTATACTTTTATGTAAAACAGGTTCGAACCACCTCTGTTGATGAACCGGCAGTAGTTCTGCGATAGTGAAGATTGTTTGCTCAGTTGCAGTTTTGTTCTGACCTAGATATTTTATTCGTTGAGCTACCATTGTTTTTTCGAATAACGTCATCAGCACAAACTTCAGACAGAAGCGATGTGCTTCAATTTCTTCACATGTGACTGACAACATGCCCTGTCTGGTCTTCTTTATCGAAAATTTGGGCATTTTCCCAGTTGACTTTGTGTTCATAACTGTGCGCGTTCATTGATATAAGTAAGAACTCATAACGGCGTTTGACAGCTAGTTGGTATTCATGAGTACGAAGATGAGGACAGCTCACTGTCCGATGTAGTGTTTTTAGCAGTTTGTTTCGATGGCGTTTTGCTTTGCTTCTTTTGTCATTTCACATTGGTTTAGATAAGAATGAAATAATTTGTAATTTTATAGATATATTCAACTGGAAAAGTATTGAAGTTTTGAACAAAGGAAATGTATAGACAACCATAGAACTTCTTGACACTAAGGTCAATCAGTAAACATATCGAAATCAACTCAATTGGGAAATTCATTGATAAATATAAATCAAACATCATGTCAAAAGGGGAGGCAATCAAAATAAACGTTTAGACAACGAGGTTAAAGGTCAATAATAACCAATCAAATTGGGAGATTTGTATTATTCCAGACCGATTATTTCAGCGAGGAAGCTATATGGTATATAGATGGATCTGATCTATTTTAGCATCATGATATTTGTGCAGGTGTATGTTAACAGTTGTGGGTTTTTGTTATAAATTCTGTGTTTCAAAGTTAGCAATTTCTGATGATTAGACCCCATATTATTGATTGCATTTATCTGCAACATAGATCAATGGCGTTCTTCAAGTAAGCTATTTCTGCTTTCTCTCTCCTTTTAGCCTGCCATCAATATGTCACATTTAAAAATAGATTTAGTAATGCGCATTAGGCTAGGTGTACAAATTCTCCGACAAGATCATGACAATAATCTGTATGCTTGCTTATTAGCATTAAAATAATGGATACAAGGTTAATATACATCAGGAATGTCTAAGCTAGGCTGTAAAGATCCAGGACAAACCTTATCTCAATAAAAAAGTAGCAAAAGGAAAATATTTCACTTTTTGGCGATTTATTTCTTAGATCATATATGTGAAAAGTAAGAGATTAATACATCTGATTAAAAGACTAGTATCAGAATGGGTTTTGTGGAGAATTTTAGAAATTTCGCTTGTTTAAATTATGAGTCAATTGAAGCTAGACCACCATGAAAACCCTGGATGGCCGTCTCGTCCTAGTATGGGACTCCTCAGCAGTGCCATACCAGGACGAGATGGCCGTCCAGGTTTTCCATGGTGGTCTAGCTTCAATTGACTCATGATTTCAACAGGTTAAAGACTAGTATTTAAACGAAGAATATTCTTTTCGATAAATTCTCTTCAGGTTCTACAATTATATATCCAAATTAATAATCCGAAAAATGGCCAGGTTAAGGGCAAAGTACATCGTTTAAAGCATGTGAATTTAGGATTGTGATAAACAATTGATTAATTTGATAACGACTTTATACCTTTGGCATAGTAATCAGCAAATGTCCTGTCGTTAAAGAACGCTTAACATGTGAAGCATCGGCTCTAACTTCATCTGGTAAAGCTAGTTGGAAAACCTAGAAAAATAACAGGCAAAATATGCATTGTTGTGAACACGTAAATCAACAAAACAGAGTATTTTGTAATCAATTTAGGCCATATCGATTAACGACCTTTTTCATTTAACTGAATAGCTTTAAAACAGGTAGAATAAATACTTTATATTAAAGCAATAACATGGTAAGTTGTGTTTGTATAACAATAAAAGAATTCGCTTCAATCTTACGATTTCCCAGAAGGTCTATCAACGGAAGAATATATTCCGAAGGCATCATATGTAATAACCTTGGTTTACTGTTCAATATTAAACTTTGTATGGCTAAGTTACTATTTCACTGACTTTAAATATAACTAACCATTCCAAACCCATTCTCAGAGTATTGTACTTCCACTTGGGAATTTTAGAAGGAAATACGAGGTGCGTTGGCATCGATCTTTATCAGAAGTGAATTAACTCAACAGATAGCATGTTAGCAATAAGACCAGATATGGGAACAGAATCTGAAGAGTGTGGTTTTTATATCAATTAATACGTGTAAATGATTAGTGAACTAATGATTGACTGTTTACAGCCAATAAGAGAATAAGTAACAGACGTGCAGATAATCACACATATGGGTATGTACATAGATAATTAGACGACTGAATTACAATAAGGGATTAATTAAAATAAATTGACCTTTGTTTGGACCAATTTTATTTTTCCCTCGGCAGGATATATTGTGCATACATAGTAGCGAAACGACCTACTGCACTATGATAAAGAAAAGATACAAGAAATCTTGTATATGAATTTCAGGTTATGTGGTGCGTGCTACTTATATTGATATAAGTAGTATATAACGTGAGTCAAAAGAACGTAATGGCTGGCAGCAGAAGATGGAGAAGATCAAGAAAAGAAGAGCGAGAAAACAATGGAATTTGTAAGAAATCGCATGAGCAATGAAATGCGAGACAATGGATTGATGTTTGCAACAGCAACAGCCCGGTTTGATATGATAGAATGATATTTTGCAAATTAACGATTTACTATATGGTTTTCCTATTTTACCAAGTAATTCTGTAATTTGTCCTAAATACAATTTGGCTGTCCTCACCCGTGTTCTTCTTCACTACATTTGGTGTCGCTGCCTCCACTGAGGATGAAGATCCCATGGCCGAAGGAGTTTGAGGACGGGGATGTGCTGAGCTTCCTGAAGGAGTTTGAGGCCGTGGCGGAGCTGGTAGGAGTGAAGGAGCCGAAGGCGAAGTTGGTGGTGCTGGGGACGCTGCTGAGAGGCAGGGCGAAGGCGGTGTATGACAGCCTGGACGGTGCTGGCGGGAAGACCACATGGGGGGAAGTCACGGAGCGGTTGGCGGTGGAGTTTGACAGCCCAGTGGACAGAGAGGACGCGCTGCAGAAGTTCCGGTTGGCGAGGTTGCCGGTCGATGGGGACCCACTGGTGCTGGCTGTGGAGCTTACCAGATTGTTACGCCGTGCGCTGCCGAGTCTGGATGAGGAGTCGGAGGCACAGTTGTTGGCGTCGCAGTTTATCGAGAGTGTGCCTGCCACCGTCTCCCAACAGCTGAAACTGGTGAACGCAGCGCAACCGATGGATATCAGTGAACTGGCGAAGGTGACTCGTCAGCTGATGACGCGAACAGTAGCTCCGGTCGGGTGCGGAAAGCAGGAGATGAGTAATGTCGAGAAGAAGATTGAGGAGCTGGAGCGCGAGATTGCAGCAATACGAGTGAACAATAAAAGGAATGATAAATGTTACGCTTGTGGAGGGACAGGACATTGGAAGATAAACTGTCCAACAAGACGAAGACGCAGATATGTTAGACGTTACAACGAGTGTTCTTTCTATCCTAGGAATCTGGGGATTGTTGCGTTAGTAGACAGAGGGGCAGTATATACGAGAGTGAACATAAATGAGCGAGATTTAGTTTGTCTGATCGATACAGGTGCAGCAGTATCGTTAATAGGCAAAGAGCAATGTAAGAGAATCAAGCCGTGTACATTAGCTGTCCACACGATAGGGGGCCATATGTTAGAGGTGTTTGGTGTATCTAACAGTATCGTAAAAGTGGGGGATGCGGAGATAAATTTTCCGTTCGTCGTAACCACAAGCTTATCGAGACCGATATTAGGAGCAGATTTCCTAAGAGAAGTAAAAGCGATAGTTGACTTAAGAAGCGGTAAGGTGGTCACGAAATATGGTTCATTGACAATACACGAAAGTAGCGAAGTGGCTGAAATAAGAGTTGCAGCGGATGTCTCGTCAAAGAAACCAAACATTCACGAGTTATGCAAAAAGTATGCGAAACTATTCACTGGAGATGGGGAGCCGTATGGATTTTGTGACAGAGTAAAGCACGAAATACCGATAAAGAACAGTCGAGTAAATATATTTGCAACACGTCGTGTCCCGGTGCATTTAGAGGCCGAGGTAAATCGTCAGGTCCAGGAAATGTTAAAAGAAGGTATAATTGAGGAAGCGGACAGCCCATATAGCTCGCCGGTACTCTTGGTAAAGAAACCAAATGGAAAGTATAGATTTTGTGTCGACTTCAGAGAATTGAATAATATAACAGACCTGAAGCCTTGTGCAATGCCAACAGTGGTGGAAACATTAGATCGGCTACAGAATGCCACGGTGTTTACAGTGCTGGATTTACGGTCAGGTTATTGGCAACTGCCTATAAAAGAGAGTGATCGGAGCAAGACAGCGTTTACTGTACGGGATAAACAGTATCAATTTAAACGAATGCCGTTCGGGTTGGCGGGTGCACCGTTCACGTTCAGAAGATTAATGACACTACTGCTCAAGAATCTAGATAATGTCGAGGTATATGGCGACGACGTAGTTGTGTACAGTCAAACAGAAACAGATCACATCAAACATGTGGAAGCAGTCTTAAAGCGAATTGACGAATTTGGACTTCGGATTAATAAGGACAAGTCGCAGATAGCGAAAAGTAGCGTCACATTGTTGGGACATAAAGTGGGAAATGGAGAAATAACACCATTGCCGGAGAAAATTCTTACCATAAAAAATATTGCAGTACCTAATTCGAAAAGGAAGTTGAGACAGTTCCTGGGAAGAGCGGCGTTCTACAGTCGGTTTGTCAAAAATTTCAACGAAATAGCAGCACCCTTATATAAGTTATTGAGCAGCACCAAGTTTACGTGGACTGAGACTGCCGAACAAACGTTCAACCGAATCAAAAACATGCTAGACGATCGCCAGATGACGCTTAGACTGCCTGAACCGGGAAGACTGTTTACAGTGGCCACAGACGCGAGTGATCATGGTATAGGTGCTGTGTTGAGTCAGGCTGATAGAGTGGTGGAATACGCGAGTCGCGTCCTCACACCTGCTGAACAGAAGTATTCAACCATCGAAAAGGAGTGTTTAGCGATCGTGTGGGCAGTGGAAAAATGGAGACCATACCTTTTAGGTAGACGATTTCACATTGAGACGGACCATAAACCCCTGCAGTGGTTGAAAACAGCAAGAGACCCCCGAGGGAAGTTGGCGCGATGGATGATACGCCTGCAAGAATACGATTTCAGTATCGGCCATGTTCCAGGAAAAGAAAACGTAATGGCAGATTACTTGTCAAGACCAGACATGGAAGCCGACCTGCCAGTAACAGCATACGCGGTGAATAGTTTAGAGGGAGACCCATTAGAACTCGTCCGGCAGCAGAAAGCTGACCCTAACCTTCGAGAGGTAATCAGAGTGATAAAAGAGGGAGCAGACGTAGATAAACGAACAATGGACAAGGAGGTAATAACGCTGCTTCGGCAAAAGGACCGACTGAGAGTGAACTCATATGGAGTGCTGACCTGGCAGGACGATGATGAAAATTGGGTGGCGGTGATCCCGAAAGACTGGCGGCGTAAAGTGATACACGAGTGTCACCAGGTAGCACATACAGGCATCGCAAGAACGACGGACTTACTACGACAAAGTGCATACTGGCCGAGCATGAGAGACGATGTGGCTGAATACGTGTTAACCTGCCAGCAGTGTCAGCTAATGAAAAGCGATCGATACACACAACCGCCATTACAGTCAATCCCAGTAACCGCAGTCGGTGATCTATGGTCGGTTGATGTGATGGGACCGTTTCCACAGACGGCGAGCGGTAACCAGTATCTGTTAGTGATGACGGAACATGCCACACGTTGGGTAGATGCCGTACCCATTGCAGACCAGCGGGCAAGGACAGTGACCGAGGTGGTAATCCGGCATATTGTAGCGTGTCACGGAATACCGAAGATGATATTAACTGACCAGGGTCCCTGTTTTGAAAGTGACGAGTTTAAAGCCCGTTTAAAGCAGTTTGGCATCAAGAGAATACGAACTACACCATATCATCCTCAGACAAACGGGCTTACAGAGAGAAACAATCGGACGTTAAAGGAATGGTTAGCATCAAAAGGAGGAAATTGGGAGAAAGAGTTACCATTGATTTTGCTGGCACATCGTTCCTCAACACAAGGAACAACCAAGAAGTCACCTTTCTTGCTCATGTATGGCAGACAACCACGACTTCCAATGCATAATAAGACCTGGCCACAACAACAGAAGTGGACGACAACAAGGTTAAGAAAAGAGAGGAGAGAGGCAATAAGGAACGTGGAAAAGAAACAAATATCAGACACAAAGAAGGCAGAACAACAGAGGAGAACGTGGAAACCCTTTGCAGTGGGGGACCTAGTAAAGTGTAGAGAACGAAAAAGTAACATAGCAGGGTCGGGGAAGCTGGCTCCAAAATGGGAAGGACCGTATGTAATCACGGAGAGACGCGGCTCGGTCTACACGATCCGGAGAGAAGACAAGCAGAAGCGCGTAAATGCTAGTCAACTACAGAGATGGTTTCAAGATCATCATGAGTGTGAATCACGAAAAGCACCAAAGAACACAGCGGTACGGAGATCAGAAAGACTACGACAGCAACTTGTTAAAAGGGGGGACGAGTGTGGTGCGTGCTACTTATATTGATATAAGTAGTATATAACGTGAGTCAAAAGAACGTAATGGCTGGCAGCAGAAGATGGAGAAGATCAAGAAAAGAAGAGCGAGAAAACAATGGAATTTGTAAGAAATCGCATGAGCAATGAAATGCGAGACAATGGATTGATGTTTGCAACAGCAACAGCCCGGTTTGATATGATAGAATGATATTTTGCAAATTAACGATTTACTATATGGTTTTCCTATTTTACCAAGTAATTCTGTAATTTGTCCTAAATACAATTTGGCTGTCCTCACCCGTGTTCTTCTTCACTACAGTTACATGTGTCCAACACTGAAGAATAATTCTTCACCCTTGCAATTGAAACTACTTAGCTTGACGAAAGGGTCAATCATGAACTTATTCAAGATACAGTTTATATTTTATGTAAGACCATTTAAAGTATCCTAACTAGCCACTCATTGCTCCCAGTTATCAAATATAGGTTGAGCGATACACCACGTTTATTGACACATTGAAGAACATCGTTAGAATTGTTCTCTAATCATACTATCATCACTTTAATAACTTTGTGATCTTTTCAAATTAACTTTAGAGCAATTTACTATGATGTCTACAAAAACGCATCGAAGTCAACTCGGTTATATTCCGTTTAGAAATTAGTTGATCCACAAGACAAGGTAGAGGTATGTACCACTGTCATCTCATTTTCCTATCTTATCATTCGAAGACTAAGGTATTTATTTCTGGATTTAAAGCCATCAAGCATTAAATGCCAAAAACATTGTCTACTGAGTTTCTAGAAACACTGGGTTAAGGTTTCCGGACATTACCCGAATCGTTTTTAACTTGAGCTATGTGAACTAATGGAGTTCGATTACCAGAAGTATCCTCAAGAATGTCTCAAATCTAACCATAACAGCCTGATAATTTGCAACGTCCTTTATTTTAAGATATTTAAATGAGCAATAAAGAACCTCGAATCACCAGGCCCAGACGACTTAGTAAAAACGAACTTACTCGTCTGTTGTTTATAAGTTTTCATGATTATCTTACCTTTCTTTTAAGTGTTACTCGAACGTAATTGACCTGTATGTCGCATTTTATCAAAGCTGTATCCATATGCCTATTATGAAAAAAGTATTTTGAGTAGGAAAAAGACATTGAAATTTAATAAGATTCCGAAAATATTATTAATGTACCATCAGAGTAAATTCGGGTAACTTCTCACGACATAGTGATAAACAGGTTGTATCTTAACAGGAAGTATAATTCAAACTTAGTAAATCAAAAATTTTTGACCGTATAGTGAGAACATTGTTCAATAAAAAACTAATAAAATTTCCGAATCCTTATCAAATGAATATTCAGAGCAAATCTCAACATGAGATCGATGTTTTACCACGATATATATGTAGTATAAAAACGAGTGAATATTGAAAAGCAATCCCTCTTAAAAAGAATTCCTATTCCAACCCGATTTTGTCAAAAGCTTACAAAATAGTTTCCAGATACTCTCCTCATAGAATACATACATTTGATATTTACATTGTTGCTCGTTTTGCAATCAGAGTTTAGTTTTTAAATCTCTCAGATCATAGAAAGACTTGTAGCAAAAAAAAGAGCTAAAAAAACGATAACAATTAATGGCTAATGAACACCATGTACCTATCTTGACCACATAGATCTGTTTATAATCCCTGAGTGTTTGAAGTAATTATCGGATTTTAAACAATGAAAACGTTTCAGTGAAGAATTTATTCTCGACGATATCATTTTCTGAATCTGTGTAATCGTATTTTTGAGCAATTTTTATAGGTAGTAGTGTTCAATATAATAGAGGTTCGTTACAAAAAAGTCAAAGATGCAATACTGATTACATTGGAATAACACCCTTCTATTTACACATTATTATATTCAATACTTGAAATCTTCTGACAGTCATGACTACATTTATGCAACACTACTTCATTTTCATAGACTTTTACATTTGACACTCGAATGAGTTTGACTACCTTCAATGATTTTGTAGCACTCTTCTGTTTTAATATAGACTAATATATGTAAAAACTACCCAAAAATACAATTGTGCAGCTTTAGAAAATTATATCTCGAAAAGAAAATTTTCTTCACTGAAACATCACGCTTTTTGATGAATAAATGGGCTTCTTTCACCTTCTATCCAGTTTTTACTGATCGTGGCATTCTTCCTTTCTGATGACTAGATTTGAAATAGATCATTATTGAGATAAAGAATATTCTTAACAGTTTACTTACATATTATTATTATTATTATTATTATTATTATTATTATTATTATTATTATTATTATTATTATTATTATTATTATTATTATTATTATTAATGTACATTACTGTATTGTAAATCGAATCTAGTCACCTAATTAATTGGTACTTTGTAAAATTTTATACAAATGATCGCCGATGTTTAGTTCTGATAGAGCATATCCACCTTCCGAAAGTACAAATAACAAAATCTGTAAAGATTAAAATGAAGTTAATGTTCAGTATACTGATGTGCGTACAACTCGTGCTCTGGGAATAGCTTTTCTTTGTATGATTAAAAATGAGAGAAAACAGATGAGAAAGCATCAAATTGAATGATTCATGTTAAGATCACTATTCACACCAAAATAAAAGTTGCTAAGCATGAATGACTCACTTATATACAGCAACATCGAGTATGTAAACATCGTGATCGTCTAATATATCTTCCTTGAGGTTGAACTCTATCCTAAAAGATTAGACAGTTTGATTATGGAATGCAGTCATAAAAGCTGTCTATCAGGCAGCGAAATTTCATCAAGTTAAATTCCTGATTCGGGACACCTTATTCATATTAATTGTTTGAGGATTGTAAGTTCATAGGTAACTAATTATCTGAATCGTTAAACATTACGTTGGTCACAGCTAGCTAACTTCGGTCAAAATGAAGAATTACATATCAATAATGAGGTGCTTAATCCATCAAGAACAGTTGTTCTAGAAGAGCAAAATGAATTCATTCATTCCATACATTCGTTGTAACAACCCGAATACCAAAAAACTGTAATATTTAGAGAGTGCACGTAACGGTTTGTCTTCTGGAAATAACTTATCAAAATACGTAATAACACACAAGATTGTGGGTGTGTTTACATAAGAAAGACGAAGTTACCAACGACTATTTACAGCTATGGTAACGTACTTTGCATAACCGTTAACTACTTCATAACTTTTATAATAACCTCCCAACTGAACATTCAATGCGTAACAACTGTTTACTTCCTTCGCACATATCCCAACCAATGTTTTTATTCTCGAAATTATTTTTGCAAGATAAGCGCTAATTATTTGTAAAACAAGTCCATATTTTGTAGTTTTCTGGGTACAGACGAATTATTAAACACAATGGAAAAAAAACGGCATAATTTAGTTCACAGAAACCATTTCCAACGAATAATTTATACGGATTTATAGTATTTTAAACTGCACTTGGATATATCGCACCTTGATTATTGCATAAAACTACCCTATTTGTCAGATTTAGTGTCAATTAGTTCACGAATGACGTTCACGCAACTGAAGCCAATACAGTTCCAAAACTCCAATCAAATGAGTTTATAATTCTCATAGAAACTAACAGATTGTATGTCATAAACTAGATTTGCTACATTAATTCATGACGACTGTCTGAAAAAAAATATGAAATTACTTAACCGACAAACTTAATTCCAAACCGCCGTTTGCATTTGAAGTTGTTGCTACCCAAACAACAGTATTATTAGTCAGTCATAATCAAAGTTGGGGCTGACAAAAGTGTGCATTAGCCTAAGCTGTCAATCTACATTGACGCGATAAAATCAAATTACCAATATGAATAGTAAAGTATGTATAAAACTGTATTTTGAAGTGGACTTCACTGGGACAAAATTAGAGTTATATTTCACTGTAATTTTCTATGGTTATTCGATAGTTTATTTGCTACAGCTATTCAGTGTAACGTCTGACGCATTTCGAATGAGACGGTGTGATCTTTTGATTTATAGCCATGAAATTTCTTACCACTATGGAGATTCAAGGCCAACAGATGTGATAACTTTAGAAAAACCAGCACAAGACGAATAATTTCCATATATTCATTCAACTCAAATTAACTTAGCAGCACTAATTTAAAGCCTTATCATTGTTGTACCGTTAAAGAAGAGAATTCTAAACAAAATGACACCTTAGTTAACAATAGGCTTTTATGAGTTGGGTCTCCGAAAAGTCCTGTTATCAAAAATATACGTTAGTAATACTCTCAGACACTAATAATGACAACGGATGAGATTATGAATGTATTGATCGGGAACCTGAACACAGAAACATCTGGATACATAGTAAACATACTAACAACTAGAATTTACTAAATTCTTCATGTTTATGAAGATTAAGGTTTAAACTTGCAACCACCAACATATGATATTCACAATTATGTTTCACAAAGTAATCATTTACTCCCGATCAACCCTGAACTCATCTATATCATATTTCAACTAACTACTGAGGAAGCTGTTTTATTATTTATTGATGCAATATATTTAATTTAAAGACTCAAAAAATTATCTTTTACAGAGTAGTTTTGTCTTTCCAGAAAAAATGTAGATCCTAGTTCTTCTCGTATGTTTTATCATCGCTAATACCATATTTTGATCTCGCTTGTTATTTTCATCTCATCATATGAATCAAGCATAGTAACTTGGGACAACGCATACCTGTGCCAAGATGTATGTTTATGATGTCTGTCTGTGTATCGATCTACACGATAACTTGTGTTAAAGAGAAGTATGGATAGTTAGTGAGTTACCGCAAAGAAGTGCTAGTCTTTTTCATGTTCACACTATCGATAATATGCATACTCGAAGTATTTCCCAAAGTATCAGTTTAGTACAGTATAAGGTTCAGACCAGGATTCGTTATCACATATGTTCACATTTTCGGTCTATCTGTTTGATTGATATTTAACTTGACATTTTGAATATAATGAAAACCAAGAAAAGACAATTCTTCAGGTGGAACATATATCAACAGATGGTGTTCATAAATAAATCAATAAGCGATTTTGTTTGGACTAGACAAATAGCGAACAAAATACAATAACGAAAAAAATCATACAAACGTACTTAGCTGTGTTGATATTGTATGGTCGGCCGTCTTCGGCAAAATATTTTGTGATTACTCGCGGTTCTATCCTGATAAGATTTTAATACGTAAAACTTTGTATGTATATATCATGTAAGTTTATTTCTTCAACTATCTTAAAACTTTAACCTATCTTACTTCATAACCGAAAAGATACAAAAAACGCTCAAAACTATTTGACGCGATCAACGTTATTAAAGATTATTTGGTGGTAAATTTTGATAACTGCCTTTTAATGAAGCATACCAGATTAAAGGCTTTTATGAAAAAGTTCAAGGGTTTCAAAGCTGTTGATGGTTTTGATTGTGATATAAATCCCATGAATGCACTGAACTTTTATACACAAACTGAACGCACGTGTGCAGCTCATCAATATACCTTATCTTCGAACAATAAGCATATCCAAGAGCCACAGGTTGCAGTTGATTGATACCAAACTCAATCACGTAGAACTAATCTAGTTTTTTAAATAAAACAGCAGCACGAGTCACTTTGAAAATTAAGGATGATAACAGCGGGAAGTATCGATCAGCTCTTATTTTCACTTTTATTGGTTCGAGCCCCGGGTGGTGCGGGTTCGTGGATGCGCACTGCTGAGGAGTCCCATACCAGGACGAAACGGCCGTTCAGTGCTTCCAGGTTTTCAATGGTGGTCTAGCTTCAACTGACTCATGATTTCAATCTGTGAAACTCAATATTGTCTGATCTAGAGGTGAACAGTTGTGTCACCTAAACTTCCATATAGTTTTTTTAAAATTCACCAGTAACTTCTAATGGTATTTTAGAATTTTAGCAATTCCAACCTAAAATTCAAATATGAATTTGCCAAAGAGATAAAGAAGTTATAAGTGCCTTAGAAATGAAGCAACTTTATTCGTTATCTAATCTATTACACATTCTAAGGCTCTCCATGGTCTGTTTGTGACTCTGAGATGCGCGCAACAGAAAGGTTCCGATTTTAAAGGATCTTAAGATAAATATAATGCATAAGAAATCGAGCACTAAAAGTTTGTAATTGGCTTTTTTAAAGAGCCATCAGAATCTACACAGGAGTAAAATGAAATCTGGAGACTTCCCAGAATCTGCTATTGTGTAAAGTGCGTAAAATGCAATTATAAAAGGTTGTTATGATCGGTAGAAACGTCATGATACCCGGTATATCCATCTTCAAAATATAACCTTTGAATTATAATAAGAATAAAAATCAACATTGTAGTTGGATATGGCTGTTATTTATTCAGGAGAAACACCTGTTATTTTCAAATGAAGTGCCACTCAATCATCATCCGCAATTGATATTACTAACAGTTTTGTTCCTGTGAAAACTTTATTTGGTCCCCATATACATATTATCTTTGTTACCGGGCCCTGCTGACATTTTGCATGTACTCTGTTTTTTTTTCAATTAACTGATGCAGATGTTCAAGCACGAAAATGTGTATGGAAACCTGGATTATGAATAAAAAAAGCACATCGATATATTTGAAAAATATGAGTTTTAATTCTTAAAATCGGTTATCCTTTACTCCATATTGACTTCTCGTCAAAGTGGTATACTTGTAAACGTTAATCTAATTTAGCATATATATGGACAAAAATCTCAACAGGATTCTTATTTCATAAATTAAACATTACATACTATTATGTGAATTAGGTACCTTGAGCTTTTTGTTTCTTGTCTTGATTTTTCTTTTCGTTGCATATATTCATGTGTTTCAATTCGTGATTCGGGTGTGTAAGGAACTTTTTCAGACCAATATTCTTCTAAACCCATAGTTGTGCTATACGAAAAACGAAAACTTAATTAATAAAATAAGAACTGCATTCCACAGGACTATAACAATCTACCATAATTTGATAAACTTATTGGTGACATTTAATGATAGGAGAACCAGGCATACCATCTTCACTAACTTAACTGGCGGCATGCACGAATATCTGGGCTACCTGTTCTTGCCATTTAAATATTTTAACAATTTATTTTTTATCTGATTTAACACATCATTGTGTCTACTAATCGCACAACCTGTGTCAGCCGTGATGTCGAGACTATACTTTATGGGCGACCCTTGAATAAAACTAAAGTGACCTTGAGAAATATTAGACAATCAGGAAACAGATAGTAATAGAGTAAAAATATATTATACAAAACTAAAGAATTAAAATGCATACACATTTTTTCACAGAGTTCAAAAACTTGTCAAGGTTCAGAGGTTCTAAAATAGTAATGCATACGGTAAAAGGACTCATACATATGGCTCCATAATAGTCGGCCTCTGGAACCATAATAAAGTCACAAAAACTATATCAGCTTCGACCACATAGCTTTAATATTGTTTGTATGCACTCCGCGTGTGTAAGCTTATGATTGTTATTACGCATATATCCCTAAAATAGTCATACCACTTAACAGTCGAAGCTTCAGTAACAACTGCGAATGTTGCAGTAAATGTTACCCGTGCTTTTATTATACCGTTCGCGACAATTATCAGGATTTGCCTTAGTCTCAATCTGCATCGAGCAGACTGCTAGCAGACTTCTTCCCCCAACAATATCTTCATCCTTTTTTGGTTCAACACAATACTTTCGACTATAAACACAATCAGTCTGTTTTTCTAAACAAATGAAGACTTCTTGTGTATTATGTATTGAGCGAACAATTGGTTTCAATAACCTCATCATTAGGCTCTATAATTATGATAATTTACAAATGCCAAAATAAGGCATGTATTAATGAATTTCACAATGTTATGTGTTAAAAATGGTAAACGTTTACATCTGTTACGACATATATACTTCGAAATTGTGTTATTTGCAAATTAAAAAGGTTATTTAAAAAAGTTCAGAATGATTTGGAGTAGAGTGTTTAGTCACAATCAGTAGAATAGTATTATAGCCAAAATGAAAATGCGAAAAAATTGTGTGAATAAAATGCATAGTAGAATTTCATCTTGTCAATTGAGATAATAATCATAATAGTAATAATAATAATATTGTTGTGTAAATATAATATGTAATGAACAAATGCCCTGGTACGCCCGAGAGTGGGGAGACTCAGCTCTGTCTCTCGAAATGCTCTCACATGGCAATGTGCATACAACCACTGCCAGTTAAATTCCTACTCACTACCTTCTCGTGGCTGGGGTGTTGTTTACGAGATTGAGAAGACGAAAAACGAATATCCTGTGCTTTAACCGGGTTGATGGATACGGAGGATCCACCTATGGGAGTTGGAAAACCCTGATTCTAAACCAATGGGTTCCAGGATTCCGAGGGAACTAATGGCGTATGAACCAATTATTGTTCACCGGCTACCATTTGACTGCATCTCATAACGTTGTTTCACCGTCTTGTGGATTGGACCTCTAGACCTCCAGGTCTTTGGAAAGTCTTAATATCGACATCTGTTGTCTATCCGAAACCCGTATTTAAGACCCTAGCGAAGTACTACAAATTCGCTCTTCGTCTGTCGCTTCGATAAGCTTGATTTATGTGTGTTTATCCGGGGACCCTCTGGTATCCACGTCTAGTTTTGCTGGCGTTGGTGTCGCACTAAGCGCTAGAGCTGAGGCAGCACTAATCGATTGGATCCCCATTAACAGTCAGTTACGTGCTGTTTGATTAGAAAGTTCCATCGAAGTAAGAAGTCGGTGTGAGAAACAACGTCTTTTCGTCATCTCCGCCTATGCTTCGACAGATTGCAGCCCATATGCGATCCAAGATGAGTTTTACCACCAGCTAACAGTTCTTCTACAGAAAGTGAATTCGACAGATATTGTAATACTATCTGAAGACTTGAATGCTCAGGTCGGGCATTTAGGTACAGACGAGAGTTGTTTAGGTGGCCGATGGGGACTTGTTGGTCACAGGTCAGATAACGGGGACCGTCTACTGCAACTGTGCACAGACAACAACCTGTTTCTGGCTAGCACTGTTTCGGCACAGTCATCGCCAATATGCCGTCTGGCGTCCTCTCTCTGCATCTCAGTCCTGGACTCAGATTGAGCACATGACGATCAGCTACCGCTGGCGTGGTTGTGTACAAAAATGCCTCTCCTTTCGTAGTAACTATATAGGCTCTGATCATGCCCTTGTTTGCGCCAACCTTACCTTCCTTTCAGTGGCCAACGAATTCATCGTCCTAAACGGATTGATGTCAGTAAACTGACTGCAGGTTCTGTTGCAAGTTGTATGGAACCGAGCTAGGTTCTAGGCTAGCTACCACTCCACCGAAAAGTATAGATGAGCATTGGTTGCAATTGCACATTACCATGAAAATTGCGAGTATAGTCGCATGTGGCTTCGAGAAACGTTCCGCTTATAAGGACTGGATTTCTTTAGGCTCCTTGCAACTCATCGAAGCCCGTCGGTCTTCTCCGGGTGACCCTGAGTTTGACCAGAAACGAAGGATGTTACGTAATGAAATCGGGCAAAGCTTGCGTATGAAGCGAGAAGCCTGGTGGTCGAAGCGTGCTAATGAGCTGGAAGCAGCAGCTGCATCTGGTAACGATTGGAAGCTCTTGCAACTCATCCGAGCCACTGGCGGCAAGAGGTCTGGTGTGAGCGAAACAATCTGTGCAGATGACGGGATGCCAATCGCTAACATCAAACGACGTCTTGGACGATAGTCAGAGTTTTTCGAGAGAAAGTTCAACTGGCCTGCTGCTCCGGCAACATCGATCAGACTGTCCTTCCCTCCATGGCCCGTGACGACTGATCCACAAAATGAGGCAGAAGTCCGCAAGGGACTTCAACTCTTGAAGCGCTACAAATCACCGGGCCCAGATGACTTACCCCTGGCTCATTTTAAAGATGGTTGTGACTTTTTGGTTAAGGAACTGTCTGAGTTGTTCGCAAAGGTTTGGCAGTTAGAGAGTGTTCCAACGTCATGGAATGAGTCGATAATCGTCCCTATCTTTAAAAAGGGTTCACGCAATCCATGCAAGAATTATAGGGGGATAAGTCTACTTCCGATTGCATCCAAGCTATTGGCTTCCTTCATACTTAGTAGGTTGTTCAGACCCGAGAAAGATTGACTGGCAAGAAGCAGTCTGGTTGTCATCCTTAACGAAGATGTATTGATCATATCTTCTTACTTACGCCTGTTACTCCGCGTGAAGGAGCATAGGCCGCACACCAGCATTCTCCATCCAACTCTGTCCTGAGCGATCCTTTCTAGCTTCATCCAGTTGTTATTCATCCTTTTCATATCTGCTTCTGTATCCTGACGTAATGTGTTGTTTGGCCTTCCTCTTTCGCGCTTCCTTTCAGGATTCCAAGTTAGGGCTTGCCTCGTGATGTAGTTTGATGATTAGCGCAATGTATGTCCTATCCATTTCCATCATCTTTTCCTAATTTCTTTAGCTGGAAGCTGGTTCGTTCTCTCCCAGAGAAAACTACTGCTGATGGTGTCCGGCCAATGGATGTTGAGTATCTTGCGTAGACAATTGTTTATAGATACTTGTACCTTCTTGATGGTGGTTTTTGTAGTTCTCCAAGTTTCAGCTCCATACAGTAGAACTGCTTTGACGTTCGTATTGAGGATTCTCACTTTGATATTGGTTGACAATTGTTTTGAGTTCCATATATTCTTCAACTGTAGGAATGCGGCCCTTGCTTTGCCAATCCTCGCCCTTACGTCTGCATCTGAACCTCCTTGTTCATCGATGATGCTTCCCAGGTACGTGAAGGATTCTACATCTTCCAGGGTCTCGCGATCAAGAGTGATTGGATTGCTGTTCTCCGTTTGGAATTTGAGGACCTTAGTTTTCCCCTTATGTATTGTTATGACTTTAAACTTGGATCGGATTTTTACCCCGTGCCAATTGTTGTGTCCTTGACTGAAAGATTACAGAGCAGCGTATTATATCGATCGATTCGGTGACACGTAAACACGTACGAACGACCTAGAGTTCCGATTGGTCCCGCCTTCCTGTCTAGCCCAGCCAGTTGAGTCCAGAACACAAGTCACAATCTCTGAGATATGAATCGTCATATTCCAAACACACTCTGCTTATATACCAATCAAGCACACCACATCGTACCACAAAATAGAAAACAACATTTTGTACAATATTTAACCAGTGAACAAATATCGACCAATAGGAAATGTCCATTTAAAATCCAAGGACACCATTCGACTTAACATGATAATTATTGGTATACTCCTCTGCATCCCTAACATGTATGTTGAGGGTTACTGATGCAGAGACTGCTGCTACACTAGTTGTCTATATCTGCATTTGTTCGTGTGTATGCGATAGGAGGGCTAGGTTATCTGCGAAGTCCAAATCGTCTAATTGATTCTCAGCTGTCCATAGTATGCCGTTTTTTTCCTCAGATGTCGAGGTTTCCATAATCCAATCGACCACTAGAAGAAAAAGGAAGAGAGAGAGTAGACAGCCTTGTCTGACTCCGGTCCTTACTAGGAATGCATCTGTCAGCTGTTCTCCATGCACGACCTTGCGCTGTAGTCCGTCATATGAGTCTCGAATAATATTGACAATCTTCTCAGAAACTCCGTAGTGTAGAAGAAGTTTCCATAACGTTCTCCTATCTACACCGTCAAACGCCTTTTCATAATCAATGAAGTTGATATACAGTGTCGAGTTATACTCAATTGATTGTTCAACGATGATCCGTAGTGTCGCAATTTGGTCTGTGCACGACCGATCCTCACGGAATCCATCCTGTTGGGCGTCTACCGCAACTTTCATCCGATTCAGCAAAACTCTGTTAAAGACTTTCCCTGGTACTGACAGTAGTGTAATGCCTCTGTAGT